TAACAAAGTAACATAAAAATTGTTGAAACATGTGTGATACATTAATATTTATGGGCATTATTTTTGTTTTTTATGTGTTTTTAACCACAATCTATAAAAATGAAAAATAACATTTCGATAATTAAAATTTTAACCATTTGCACATATCATTAAATATGGCAAAATAATAATAAAAATACAAAATACAAAATGGCGACATGTGTGTGTCCCACATTCGCAATGATTAAATTTAATGTTGTGTTTGTTGAGGATGGTGATGAAATCTTTCGTGGCCAATAATAATAAAATTGCTCCACATGTCAAACCCAAACCCAAACAACGACAACAACAACAACAAAACAACTCCCTCATACGATCAGGCTCACATGAGCCCACACATGAGCTCACACATACATACACATACACGCACACACACATACACGCACACACACATACACGAAACACGCGAAAATGTAGTCGAAATTTGAAGCGAATTCAACTTCTTATCTGTTCGTCCCTCGCCCTCTCTCGCTCTCTCTCTCTCTCTCTCTCTCTCTCTCTCTCTCTGTCTCTCTTTCTCGCACACTGGCAGCCCTTGGACTGGCTACAGCGTAAATTAGTCGTTACCGTTAGCCGCAGCAGTCCGTATGCAGTTACAGCAAGTTCGCTAACAATTTATAAATACATATGTACATATGTATTTATTTTTTTCATTCTACATTTAATATACAGCATTCGAAAATTTAAATTTTAATCTTCAACAGATTTTTATGCGCAAAGAAGTAGCAAGCAATATAATTCCTACAGTTTCCTTTCGTAATTATTCTTTGCAGCTTGAATTTATTTATTTTTATTTCTCTTTGTTTTATTTCGTTTTTATTGTGCTTTGGTGTCGCTGTGAGTGACAGTTTGGACGCTGGCGACTGCGCTGCTGTCTGCTCCAATAAGTCAAATAGTTTTTCACTTTACGCGATTTCTCATCATGTGTATGCGGGCATTTTATTTATTCTCTGCTTTATTTTATTTTAATTTTTTTTTTTTGTCTCACAGTGAAATTATTTTTGGCAATTGTATTTTACTTGCCGCCGCAGGTGCTGGGCTATGGCTGTGTGTGTGTGTGCGACCGCGAGGGTGTGCGCGGATATGTATGTGTGTGTGTATGTAGCAGGCGATTGCGACCTAATTTCGGTTTCTATTTCACAGTTTTGTATGTTTGATTGTTGTTATTTTTGTTGCAGCTTCAGCAATTAGCATACAGTCACAAGCACACACACACACACATACATGAATATTTTGATGTATGTTGGAATGGCGTGGGCCGTTTTAGCTTTAGGCCAAAGCATATGCGAAATTGCTTTTAAAACAAAAACGAAATGTATAAACTGTTCATGCGATACAGGCGAACCAAAAAATACAAAAAAAAAAAAGCAAACAGCTGATTTGAGAGTCAAATGCGCCCACACAGGCAAACGACCACAACCGCGCGCATACACACACGCACACATGCATCCATATGAATATGACAATATTTATGTAAAGTAAATCCTTTAAACTGCTTCATATACCATACAGAACGGCATGTTTAAACAGATTAACTGTAACATATTTGTACGCTTGTGCATGCATGCGCATGCATTCAGCCAGACACCCGCATAGAACCGTTACATGCAAAGCTGTTACCCAGTTGTGCGTAACAAAACTGCAGCATCTCGCACACACGCACCGCAGCACATATTCACAAAACTCTGCAACAAAGAGATGGGGAGACTGAAAAGATATATAAAGATAGATAGAGACAGAGAGCGGTCGGGCGACCGAGAAAGACAGAGAGAGAGAGATAGAGGGAGGGAGAGTCAGCGAGGCTGTCCGTGCCAAGGCAAATAACGTTGGAGAGCACAAAATGTAACAAGCATAAAACTCGCCGCTCATCCAACAGCAAATACAAACATACATACACAGACGCACACACAAATACACACACGCAGGCAGGCAGGCAGGCAAATCGCTTGTGGCGCAACTTTGCACTCGTTACACTGGCGACCAGAAAAAAAAGCGCAACAGGAAACATTTTTGTGCTGTTGTCAAAATTTTCGCAAAAGCACTTTTGTTTCTTCTAAGTGCACTTGCAACAGCAAGAACAGTGAGAGAGCGAGAGATCCAGTAAAACCAACTTCAGTCGATAATAGCCAAAGCACAAAAAATGATTGGTCCTTGACCAAAAAGTTTACAGCATCCAATGGAACAGTTAAAATGTTTGTGCTAAATTTTGCGTGCTGCTGGCAAAATAATAATAATAATAATAAAAAAAAAAAGCTTTTTGCAGATACAACAACAAGGATACTCTTAGTCTTTTTATTTTATTCCATTAAAAATGTCGCAAAGTTTTGGGATTATCTAGAAGTATGCCACTGTTACATTTTTCTTCGGCCACCAGTGTAGTATATGCGTAAAGTAACTGTAACGAGCTGGGTGGTCGAATGGGCAGAAGAGGAAAGTGGCAGCCGCTGAGCAGCTGTTTAAAGCGCGAGCTGAAAGCGAAAGGGCGCAACAAAAGCAAATGTTGGATAGGTGATGGATGCCTGTTGCGGGGCCATGGAAGGGTTTATGTATGAATATAAAGGAATGGTACAAAGGACTCGCTTTTGAATTTTTAATATTTATAACTTGAGCAACGAACCGAGAGATGATTTGTATCCCCACCGGAAGCTAATCTCGAGTTGAACTGGCACACTCACAACGTACACACACACACATACACAGACATAGTTGAAGGCACAGAGCTTTAGTACATACATACACACTTACATACATATAAACACATACAAATACACTTGCTAAGAGAAAAGCGACTGTGACTGTGTGCGGACTCTGGCAACGATGTTTATTCATATATACATATGTACATATGTATTGTATATATGTATATGTGTATACATTATATGAAAAACAAAATACATTCATAAGTACACATTTTAAAGCATGTTGCACCAAAAGTGCAAATAAGTATGCTTTATCGATTCCAAGCACACGCACGCAACACATAAACATTCTCAAGTATACATATGTACATGAACACACACACCCACATACATACATGCATATGAATGGCCGTCCATGCTTATACTTAAGCATATCCATATAAATATTCATACAAATTCATATATCCATACACACATTCACGCACACACACACACACACACACACACATACGTATGACAGACTTCTTCTCACAGAAAGAAACTCAATAAGGAGGATAAAAACGAAGTAACGGCACGCGGTCCGCTGAAGCCCAAGCCTCAACTGAGCTCGCCTTGGCGCACTTAATTTTGTTGTTGCTTTTAGCAAGAGGAGGCAAAACAAATGCAGGCAAGAGGAGAGTTACCAGGCTGGCAGACAGAGAGAGAGGGGCTTCGAGTATATTCCTGGTTTGGGCTCCTGCAAAAGTCAACCCTGACCGCTGGTTTGGCAGCCTGGCGAGGCGCATGCACGAACACGCACACATACCTACATATACATATTAATGTATATATAAATACATACATATTTACAATATACATATATTATATACATACGAACACACATACATTTGTAGGCTGGCATACATACGAACTTAGTCAGTTAGTCGGTCATTATAACGGAGCTGCTGTTGCTGTTGCTTTTCATGGTTTTGTTAGTGCGTGCCGAGTGTCCT